CATGCATAAACACATGGATACATAGATAGATTTTTCTTCTGGCCATTAAGAGTTTTTTTTGGCATGCTATGCATTTTTTTTGATACAGGAAGCCGGTCCAACTTAAAAGCCCAATATGTGATCCGTATTTTCAACAACATGGCTCAACTATTATACAAGCCCACAATCGACTCTGCAATATGAAGTGAATGCATTAAGAATCACTCTTCCGTTAATATTTAATTATTGAGTTGATCTTAATTTTAAATATAAAATTTATTTTTTATATTTATCAATTTTTTAAATTATTTCTATTAATATTTTCTTAATCATAATCAAGTAAGAAAGGGAGAGAGGATATTAAAAAAAATGATTATGGTATTTTAGGAAAAACATATTATATTTTTTGTAATTAATTAACTCACTTAACTTTTTTAATTTAATCAAATTAATTAACTAAGTTTTATATTATGAATTGGAAGAATGTTACAATTTCCAAATATAGTCGTGGAATATTATATATATATATATATTGGCGAACTGCAGGGGTAGGTAAAACTCGGTTCATTTTCATTTCAATCAAAACTTGCGTGTACATTCCCAACATGCCCTATGAATGTCTCCTTCTATATCAATGAATTTGAATTCGAATACAACGAACCAAATATTCTAATATGGAATCCAGAAGATTCACTGCACCAGTGTTTCAATTCATTTAATTGAAATTAAAACTGAAAATCACACGCTTACAGATTAACAGCATTTGTACTTGAACTCAAAAAGTTAAAAACATAAAAACGGAAGATTCATTAGCATTAACGGTTTAGTCTCATTTATGTAATAAATATCGACGATTTCTCACACAATGCCATGAAATGAGTCGAAAGGTAAATCATCACAAGTGAACACGTAAAAGTCATTATCTTAAAATAAATAGGGAAAAGGCGTTGGGAGCACTATAAATTGACAGCCAATAACGTAGCTTTCACAAGGCGAAACCATGGAAGTTGCATCAAGCTTCCCCAAAATCCATCTGTCATTTCTTTTTCTGGTCTTCGCTATTTCACCAATCTCATCTGCGACATGTCCTTCCACCAATAAGCTTCCCTTATCTATTCCTCAACGACAAGCACAGAAGCTTATTAGAAACCTTAACCTCTGCCCAAAACACTCCACCAACATCGTATCGGCTGACACGCTGTTTGTTCCCCAAGGGGATAGGGTCGTTGAGACGAAGCTTATATTCCCTAAACTTGTTGCTCCTGGGCCTTCTGTTCAAGACTTCGGTCACCATGCTGGCTATTATTCGCTTCCTAATTCCAAAGCTGCAAGGTAAATATTCTTTTCATTTGCTTTAAACTTTGGCTTTTGTTCTCTTCTCTGCCCTGATAAGAGTCATCATATTAATTAAAGGCTTGTGACACTTGCAGGATGTTCTACTTATTCTTTGAATCTCGGAACAGCAGGAACGACCCAGTTGTGATATGGTTGACTGGAGGACCGGGTTGCAGCAGCCAGCTGGCTTTGTTTTATGAGAATGGTCCTTTTCATATTACGCAAAACTTAACTCTTTCGTGGAATGACTATGGTTGGGACAAGGTGTGTGTACATATATATATATATATAGCTGTTCTGTTGAATCATCTGTTTCATATGATAGATATGATGTTTAGCTTTCACCCCTAAATCAGTACATGCGTTGAATAATTGTGCAGGTATCAAATATTATATTTGTAGACCAACCCGTTGGGACAGGGTTCAGCTACTCTTCTGATCAAAGTGACATTCCCCATGACGAAGAGGGTGTTAGCAATGCCTTGTTTGACTTTTTACAGGTAAATATCGTGACCCTCCCAGACCAACTCAAAAACAGAAAAAAGTACAGAACTTTTCGAATCATACGTAAATATATATGACAGGCATTCTTTAAGGAGCACCCTCAATTTAGGAAGAACGACTTTTATATTGCTGGAGAATCATACGCGGGACACTATATCCCGGCTCTTGCTTCCCGGGTGCAGAAAGCAAACAAGGCAAACGAAGGAATTCATATAAACTTTAAGGTCTCACACTGTACAATACACTTGTGACGTAATTCTTTCATTTATGATTTCATCAATAAACTTAGTTTAATATGATGAACAGGGAATCGCTATTGGGAATGGACTGACCAATCCTGCAATTCAGTACCCAGCATATACGGACTTCGCATTGGAGAATGGCTTGATCCGAAAAGATGATTACGACAGGATCAATCAGTTAATCCCTTCATGCTCGCAGTCAATACAAGCTTGTGGTACTTGTTGCCCCTCCCCTGTCTTTACCTTGACACTCTCACCTCACCTCACCTATTAATTTGGGCAAATCATTCTCTCTACCACGAAAGAGAATTCAGAATTGTGTAATTTTACAAGAGAGAAGATTGGTTATCGGGGAGACAGGAGGGGTCAATTTAGTTTGTCACTGAATTTTCAGGGAGGGAAGGTGGAGATGCTTGCTTGTCTTCTTACACGGATTGCCAAGCAATATTCGGGCAAATATTAAGCGTGACAGGCAACAATATTAATGTAAGAAACTACACTATACTATGCTGTCTGAGCTGTTAATATATGAGAAATATAACAGTGGATGCGGGAAAACTGCAGTATTATGACATAAGGAAGGAATGTGAAGGAGAACTGTGCTACGACTTCTCAGGCGTAGAGAGATTGTTAAACGAGAGGGAAGTGAAGGAAGCGCTTGGTGTGAATGAAGAGTTGGAGTTTGTGTCGTGCAGCAGTGAAGTGTATGATTCGATGGCGCAGGACTGGATGAGGAATCTGGCAGTGGGGATCCCTGCTCTTCTGGAGGATGGTATCAAGGTGCTTGTGTATGCTGGCGAAAAGGATCTCATCTGCAATTGGCTTGGTACTTCATCATCTTCAATTAATCATCATGCATGTGAATCTGCTTTTTAATTAACTAATGAACTTGCATGTAGGGAATTGGAGATGGGTTCACGCGATGAAGTGGTCGGGTCAGAAACAGTTCGGGGCGTCTCCTAACGTGACGTTCCTGGTTGATGGCAAACAGGCAGGAACACTAAAAGCCCACGAACCCCTCACTTTCCTCAAGGTTCGTTCCTGTCGAGTTGTTTGTTTAATTTGTTAATTTGATGATTATATTGGGGTTATGAATGGAACAAGTGGTAATTTAGTTGAGTTTTATAAAGGTGACTGAGGCTGGGCATATGGTCCCTATGGATCAACCCAAAGCTGCGCTGGAGATGCTCACCCGCTGGATGCAAGCCAAATTATCCTCCACATCAACACCAATCTAAGATTCCCGAAACGATTTACATCTGCGTTTAATGATTAGTTATCACTGAAGCTTTTTGGTTAATTTCCTTTTTATTAAGTCACTCTTTCAATATATGTGCTTCTTTTTCTACAGAATCTACGTGGCTAAATTTTCCCCCTTATTTATATTCATATTTTTCAGTAATAAATTATTAAAATAAATATGTGGGTAGAGCACGATGATACATATTGAGTCGATAGCCAAATAGCTAAAAGAACAATGAAGGAAAAGAGTTTGTGAAAAAATAAACCGAGACTATTCTGTATGTATCAATTATTTGTGATGTGAATGAGATGAATTGAATATTTGCCAACATGTTCTCACGTAAGATTTAATCCTGTCTGGCCTGAAGCGATCCATATATTTTGATGCGCATTAAAATTTAAAGCGCTTTGTATATAGCTTGAAATTGACAATTTCGATGTCTTGTATTTGTACGACATAAAATATAGTATTGTATAGTGAATGAAATTTCAAATAAGAATCAAGTTAAACTACTTGAAGGCTTCAAGCAGTGCATTTCTTCTCCAGATTCTCATTGTATGTAATTATTATTTTTAAAAAAATACTTGTGGGAGACATCTCGAATTAAAACAAAAGGGCGTGCATGCCAAAAATGTAAGTGGCAAAAGTGTGTCGGCCTGCTTGGACCAAAATCTTACTGGTCCAACCTAATAACTAATTATAAGGAAACCCCAATGAAATTTAATCAAGCCCGTTCGTGCCCCGAAAAAAAAAAACAATTATCAGGCCAGTTTAAAATTGTTGGTTGAGAATAATTAAAATATTAGTGTGATATTTGTCGTAAAAAAATTGATTTGGATCCTCTAAATTGAGTCCCAGCTAAGGGGTATTAATAGTTTGACTGTGATCTGATGGTATTAAAGAAGTATAAATTTCTTGTAAAATTATAGAGAAGTCTTTAAAAAATAATTTAATAACTTTTTCCACAGCATAATCAAATCAAAATTTAAAGATTAGTATATTTCAATTGAGGCTTAGTGGAAAGCATTCAGATACGAAAAATAAAAAAAATAGTTTATTCACTGAAGCATCTAAGTCTAAGATGCGAAGTGGAGGAGTTACATTTAGATAACCGAAGCAAGGAAATGGGAAGCGGCAGCTGAAATGCAAGAGAGCTACTCCACATTAACATAATGCTAGCTGGGAAACCATGAAGAGCATATCTGTCAACAACTAGTTGCCCATTATAAGAAAAGAAGCAGCCAAGATGCTTGTAGACATTTGCAGTGAAATTTCTTCTAACAGCGATTTTGTTTACAGAAAAGAAACAAGTTACAATTAAATATATTAGTTAAATAAACCGTAATTTTGAGATTCTCTTTATATATAGTGCATGAATTGGTATCAACGGTTATTATATATAAATATGAGACTTGTTCTAATGAAGTTAACCATCAGAGTCAAAATGTCAACTGTCTAACTAAAAGACAAAGTAATTGAAAGCATAGAAAAAGAAAAAATGACAATAAATGTCGACAATATTCAGTTAAAAATTTGTTATAAAAATTAATTGCCAGTAATAATGGTAATTGATCTATACTTCTGAATTTATGGATTCAGTTAACAGCTTCATACTCACATTAATTGGCACCTGCTGGAGCATTACTATAAATTGTTAGCAGCAACGCCATGGGACTAGAAATTCAGAAGCTAGAGCAATGGCATCATCATCAGGCCTCCTTCAAATCTCTCTATCTTTTCTCTTGTTCGTCATCCTTTCACGTGTCTCATCTGCCTCCAACAATGACCTTCCCTTGCCTTCAGGATCCCAGTACATTCAACAAGAAGCAGAAAAGCTTATCAGAGAGCTTAACCTTTCCCCAAAACATTATAATAAACACTCTGTATCCCATGACGCTCTCTTAGTCCCGGCGGGCAAGATCGTTGAGAAGAAGTTTAGATTCCCCAACATTGATGCTGCTGCTGGGCCTTCTGTTCGAGACTTCGGTCACCATGCTGGCTATTATGGACTTCCACATTCTCATGGTGAAAAGTAATCCTTTTAATATACTCTTCTTTTTAATAGGTTTGTTTGATATATGACTATGATCAAGTAACTAAAAATAAATTCGGTAGCCATGCATGATTAATCTTATGATCTTGATCGTGTCATTTGAAGGATGTTCTACTTATTCTTCGAATCCCGGAACAGTAAGAAGGACCCTGTTGTGGTATGGCTAACTGGAGGACCAGGTTGCGGCAGCGAACTGGCTTTGTTTTATGAGAATGGTCCTTTCCATGTCACACAAGACTTGTCTCTCGTGTGGAATGACTATGGCTGGGACAAGGTATGCACGTAACGTAGAGTAATATATTTTTTCTTAGCTTCTTGTTTGCTGAGTGATCAGTTAAGACGTGTTCATTCATCATTTTAATCTGTAGGTATCCAACATTCTGTTTGTAGACCAACCAATCGGGACAGGTTTTAGCCATGCTTCGGATGAAAATGACATTCGCCATGACGAAGGGAGTGTTTGGATAGAAACCAAACCATGGTTTCAGAAGTGCTTTTACGGATTACGAAGTAAATATGTGGAGGAGGTTACCTCGTTTTGCGGAAAAGTGCTTCTGAAACCACGGTTTTGGAGCACCCAAACAGGCCCGAAGAAGGGATTAGCGATGACTTGCTTGACTTCTTGCAGGTAATTAACGACATCAAATCCAAGCTAATTAACCTCTGTGTTTATCAATTAATGAACTGAAACAGACCAAGTTGTAGAATAATCATGGCTGCAGGCATTTTTTATGGAGCACCCTCAATTTGTTCAGAATGACTTCTATGTTACTGGAGAATCGTACGCGGGGCATTATATTCCGGCCGTTGCTTCTCGGATTCATCAAGCAAACAAAGCAAAAGAAGGAATTCATATAAACCTCCAGGTCTCATACGCTAGGCACTAGCTATTTATTAATCTACTTGTTTCATGTTATTGGAATATACATAGTATTAGCATTGATTAATTAATTGCTTGAAGATGGCAAAAAAAAAAAAATTAATTGGTGGAACATGCAGGGTTTTGCCATTGGGAATGGGGATACCAATCCCGAAATGCAATTTGCAGCTTATACGGACTTTGCGTTGGAGAATAATATAATTAACGGTGACGATTATAACCGCATCACCAAGATGCTCGCCCCATGTTTGCAATTAATACAAGATTGCGGTACTATTAATTGCCCTCGATCCTTCGTTTAATTCTCTCTTCTACTTTCTTTCTCAAAACTCAAAAAGTCAAAACATCTTTGAATTCTGTCTCTACTTTCAATTATATTCACAGTTATCATGCGTAATATATACAACCCAGGTTATATAAATTAAAGCCTATTTTCAAGTCAAAACAACTTAAAGTTTACTCAATTTTTATCACAATAGATTATAATCAACCATGCCCAACTCATTTAAACTTTTCAAAGAAGAAAGAATAATTTATCTACTCATTTATTGAGATATATCTAACTTTTTTATTTAATTGATAGGTAAAAAGGGTGGAGATGTTTGCGAATCCGCTTACTATAATTGCAATGAAAACATATATGGCGAAATCCTAGCAATAGCTGGCAATATTAATGTAAGAGACTTCTTGAGAATGGGAGGCATGTGTGTGTGTGTGTGTAATTTTGAGTTTACGATAAATCCTATTAATTATATACGCATGCTTAATTGTACTGCAGTTCTATGACATAAGAAAGAGATGTGATGAGGGGCCTATGTGCTATGATTTTTCAAGCATGGAGCAATTCCTAAACGAGAAAGAAGTGAAGGATGCTTTAGGTGTTGGAGACTTGAAATTTGTTTCATGCAGTGTGGCAGTTTATGCTGCCTTGAAGTATGACTGGATGAGAAACCTGCAACCGGGCATTCCTGCTCTTCTTGAAGATGGTATTAGAATGCTTGTCTATGCCGGGGACAAGGATCTTATTTGCAATTGGCTTGGTAATTAATTAAGCCTTTGAAAGCCTACGTGCTGTTCCTTATCAGCAAATGAAAAACCTTAAAGAAGTCTGTCATGATTTAAGGCAGCCTTAATTAATTGTATTCTGTCCCGTGTTTGATTTGGCACTGTGCAGGAAACGCAAGGTGCGTTGATGCGATGGAGTGGTCAGGTCAGGAAGCCTTTTTGGCTTCTCCAAATGTGTCCTTCGTGGTTGATGGTAAAGAGGCAGGCAGGTTGCAGAGCCACGGACCTCTGAGTCTTCTCAAGGTTTGGGCTATATATGAAATTCATATATTGCAATCACTCTTAGTTTGATCTGATGCCTGTTTGTGAACGAACATGTTCTGATGAGGTTTGTGAATGAACTCATGCAGATCCATGATGCTGGGCACATGGTCCCTATGGATCAACCCAAGGTTGCATTGGAGATGTTGACGAGGTGGATGCAAGGAAAATTAACCATCGCATGAAAGAGGAATAAATGCATAGTTAAACTCATTTCTGTACGGAAGATATGAATCGAAAGTTAGAGCAAATTAATATTAAAAGCCCATGTTCATTATTTGCAGTGGGAATGAAAAAAATAATTAAAATAGTATTTGACATAAATAATTGCTTATCATATAGGATTAGACAAACTCATAGAGCTAGGATTGGGGAATACCACTTCTTGTTATGGTATTCTTTAATTTCACATATATGAGTTTGACTAATCTCGTATAACAAGTAATTTCTTATATTAAATACTCTTTTAATAGATTTTTTCAATTGTAATCCAAATCTCAATCCCTCATTTTTAATACTTCCTACTAAACGCAACCACAGTGTTTTCCAACTACTCTCATTACCACTCAGGCCACGTTCACACGCCGTTTGATCTCTCTCAAATCCTGATTTAAGCCCGCACGAATTGAAATTTAAAACACTTTGTACATTATAATAAAAATTTGGATGCCTTGTGTATTGATACGATATAAAAGATAATGGAGGACGAAATTTAGAATAAGAATGAAGTCACGCATTCATAAAATCGTTATCAGACTACTTGACTTTGTATATTTCTTTTCCAAAATCTCCTCTAAAGTGTACACACACAATTAAAAAAAAAAAGTATAATTTTAGGAGTGAGAAAGTTTGAATAAAGACTCTATCTGAAAAAAAGAAGAAAAGAAGCTCAAGAGGCACATTCCAAAATACGAGGCTGCCAGAGGCAAAAGGATGATCGGCCCAAAGTATTATTGGGCCAAACCCAATTATTAAGTAAGCCCAGTGAAATTTAATCGGGTACGTTAACTTTTTCCCCCCGGCTCAAAACATTAAAATAATACTGTGATTTACCCATTTTAATTGTTGCCTGTAGGAAATTTTGATGCTCCTTGCCCAATATAGGCGAAGAGGTCGTTTTCTCCCACAAAAAAGAAAAGAAAAGAAAAGACATTGCTTTGAAAATATTTTTAACAGTGATCTTCATTTTGTTTTTTAAGCAACTAGACAAATAAATCCTTTCTCGGGTAGTTTTCATAAAAGAATTGTTAACTTTTTTTTCTTTGTACAAGACTTTACATACTTCTAAAAATATTAATCACTCATTTTTCTTAAGTAACCTAGACAGACAAGAGAAGAGTACGCGAATTTAATAAATTTTACCGAGAAGAGGAGTAATTTTGAAAAATGACTGAAAATATGGACACGTGCATTTAATGAGAGTAGTTAATTTTAACAGATTTTTTAAGTCTATGTAAAATTGTTAAACATCTCCTTGGAAAAAAAAAAAAGGAATAGAGAGAGTATTACAATAGTTAAAGACATTAAATTTCGGATCCTCTTTATAAATATACATGCATGAATTTCGGATTCTCTTGTTACAAAGAAGTTAATGCATCAAAGTCAAATCCTATTTGACAAAAAGACAAGATAATTGAAAGCAAAAGCCAATTCAGTTTAAAATATGATTATCACTTGCCCCTTTGAATTACTACTCTGGTAAAGTACTTCAAGCATATTTCATATGGACCAAGAAAAATATTAAAATGTATTAACTCTCTATTAAAATATAACAAATTTTTTAACTTTACTCGTATTTAATATATGCATATTTCAAAAGAGATAACTATCTATACTATAATAAATAATGGACAAAATAATACATTTATACTAAATTTAATGAAATGATTTATAAATAGGATAAAAAAAATTTTCTCTTTCTGTCCTATAAATAGGATTAGAGGAGTATATTATAAGTTATTTGTAACTTTTTCACATATAAAAAATACATTAAATTGATAAATTTTTTAAAATTTATCCTTATTAATTTTTTTTATAGTTACAAATCATTTCCACATCTCTTTTTTAAATCTCATTCTAGGGAAAAAAAAAGTAAGGGTAAAATTAGAAAACTATCATTAAATACCCTACAAATTAAATGACTAAATAAACAAAAAACTTCTTTCTAGAAGTGATTTAAATAATACTATCTTCAGTGCTAATTATAAAATCTCATTTATACATTATAAATGAGATCTTGTAATTAAGAAAGGAGGTAATAAGGAAGACTAGTGATGAATAACAATTATGGTTTTTAATTTATGCTTCTGAATTTACGAATTCAGTTAGCAGCATTAATTGGGACTGCAGGAGGAATGCTATAAATTAGCATCGACGCAATGGGACTAGACAGCAATGGCGGCATCATTATCATCAGGCCTCCCCCGAATCTCTCTATCTTTTCTCTTGTTCGTCTTCCTCTCATCCTTCTCCTCCGTGGCCAGCAATGACCTTCTCTTGTCTTCAAGGTCCCAGTACCTTCAACATGAAGCAGAGAAGCTGATCAGAGAGCTCAACCTTTCCCCGAAACATTACAAATGCTCTGTATCCCATGACTCTCTCTCAGTCCCTCCGGGCAAGATCGTTGAGAAGAAGTTCAGATTCCCCTACCTTGATGCTGCTGGGGGCCCTTCTGTTGAAGACTTTGGTCACCATGCTGGCTATTATGGACTTCCACATGCCCATGGTGAAAGGTAAATAATCCTTGTTATAATATACTCTCATTACCTGGTTTGTACCTGTTAGATTAATTATGATGAAGTCAGAAATTAATTTCAAAGGCCTTGATGGATCGTGTCGTTAACTTGCAGGATGTTCTACTTATTCTTCGAATCCCGTAACAGTAAGAAGGACCCTGTTGTGATATGGTTAACTGGGGGCCCAGGCTGTGGCAGTGAACTAGCTTTGTTTTATGAGAACGGTCCTTTTCATATTACAAAGGACCTGTCTCTTGAATGGAATGACTATGGCTGGGACAAGGTACGACGTGCGTAAAATGCAGATTCTTGTTTTGCTGAGTGATCAGCCAAGACATGTTCCCTCATCATTTTAATTTGTAGGTATCAAATATTATATATGTGGACCAACCAATCGGGACAGGTTTTAGCCATGCTTCTAATGAGAGTGACATTCCCCATAACGAAGAAGCCGTTAGCAATGACTTGTTTGACTTCTTACAGGTATATATATTAATAAACAGCGTCGATCCAAGCCAATCTGTGTCTGTATGTATTAGCTGATTGGTAGTAGACTAAGTTTTAGAATAATCATATGTATGTCAGGCATTTTTCAAGGAGCACTCTCAGTTTGTTGAGAATGACTTCTATATTACCGGAGAATCGTACGCGGGACATTATATTCCGGCCATTGCTTCTCGGATTCATCAAGCAAACAAGGCAAAAGAAGGAATTCATATAAACCTTAAGGTCTCACATGCACTAACTATATCTATTAATCATCTTGTTTCATGTTGCTGGTATATATATTATAGCATTGATTAATTAATTGGTTGAACATGCAGGGATTTGCTATTGGGAATGGGCATACCAATCCTGAAATTCAATACGCAGCTTACACGGACTTTTCATTAGAGAACGGTTTGATTAATCGTGATGATTATAACCGTATCAACACGATGCTCCCTCCATGTTTGCACTCAATACAGGAATGCGGTAGTATTTATACTTGCCCTCACCAGTTTAATCCTATCTTCTTTCTCTAATCATTCTTGAACTTTTCAATCCTGTTTTTAAGCGAGGTATTTTAAAAATTATAATAATTCTAAAGATCTCTTTAGCTATACAAAAGACAAAAATATAAGCTAAAGCCAAAACAAATTAAATTTCAGTTTTTATCACAACAAATGATCCAACTCATTTAAACTTCTCAGGTAACAAAAAAGAAATAATTTATTTATTTATTGGGATACATCTAACTTTTTCTTAAAATTTGATAGGCAAAAAAGGTGGAGATGCTTGCGAGACTGCTTTCTATGAATGTAATCAAGACATATTCGAACAAATATTGGTCACTGCTGGGAATGTTAATGTAAGAGACTGCTTGAGAATGCAGAGTGATTCATGTGTATTTAATTTGAGGTTACTATATATAAATCTTGTAATAATACAAGATAGGATGGTGCTTAATTTTGTGCAGTACTATGACATAAGAAAGAAATGCGACAAGGGGCCTTCGTGCTATGATTTTTCAAGCATGGAGACATTCCTAAACAAGAAAGAAGTGAGGGAAGCTTTAGGTGTTGGAGACTCGAAATATGTTTCGTGTAGTGATGTTGTATACGCTGCCATGAGGAATGATTGGATGAGAAACCTAGAAGTGGGTATTCCAGCTATTCTTGAAGATGGTATTAGAATGCTTGTGTATGCCGGAGAAAAGGATCTTATTTGCAACTGGCTTGGTAAGCCTTTGAAATCCTAAGTGCTTTTCCTATATATTAACAAAATAATGGTAATTAAAAATGACTCTTTATTTCCAGGCAACCTCATATTATATTCCATCCTCTGTGTGGCATTATGCAGGAAATGCGAGATGGGTTGATGCGATGGAGTGGTCAGGTCAGAAGGCATTTTTGGCATCTCCAAATGTATCCTTCGTGGTCGATGGTAAAGAGGCAGGAATATTGCAAAGCCATGAACCTCTGAGTTTCCTTAAGGTTTTGTGTTATATATTATGTGTAGTTTTTGTGCATAATACAATTGCGATGCGTTCGTTCCTAGCCTGAGGTTTGTGAATGGACTGACAGATTCATGAGGCTGGGCACTTGGTTCCTATGGATCAACCCAAGCCTGCACTGGAGATGCTGACGAGGTGGATGCAAGGAAAATGAACCATCAAAGAAACTGGGGGAACAAACACCTAGCTAAAATCAGTTTTGCACATTACATATATATGTGTATAAAAAAATTAGTGCAAAGGGAATAAATATTTTAATTACTGCATGCCAATGTGAATTTATTATTTCTCATTGATAAATCGGGGGAATTTCTCCGTTTGTGTGTGTGGGTTTTTTTTTTTTTGGGTTGGGAGGGGTGGTGTTGTGGCGCAGTCAAGCAGCTAAAATGAAACCCAGATGTTGGGGAACCACGGTGAGGCCGAACAAAATGGGCTGAAGAGCGATGGCCTCAAAATGGGTGGGTATGCTGGAGAAGAGGACCTTAGTAAGCTATTTAAGCCCAAAAAGCTATCCAAACAAAAAAGGCTTCTTCTTCTTCTTGTTTGTTTTTTTTTCGCCAGCCATAAAATTATGAACCAACATTTTATTTGATATCCAGCGGGGAAACTCAAGGGGTAGTGTGTTGAATAGGACTTGTGGTAACTGGGAAACTTAAAAATTAAAAAATTAAAAATTATTAAAGTATTAAAAATAATACAAACCATTTTTAACTTAATCCTTAAGCAAAACATACAAATTAAACATTGAGCGATTAAATTAAAATAAAGAAGTTGGTTGTTTTTGTTTTTTTTTCTTTTTGGGGGAGGGGGTGGTGATAAAGTAGGGTCGAACCCCAATTTTTATAAGCCTGATTTTTGAATGGTCTGAAAACGTGTTTTGGGAAGAGGTTCGGATCACTTTGAAAATTAGGTTCGGATAACAAAGCAGGGCAGTTTGCTTCGGAAAGCCGTTGGACAACCAAGCGCCAGTTCCAGTTAATTCAGCCGTTGCTTTCCCTATCGCTTCTTTTCTTTCTTCCATTCTGTTCTTCTTACAATCAAAACACCAAGGCAACAAAAGAAAAGCAGATATAGGAGCATAAAGGATTTCATTAGGGTCTTTATTCTGATCGATTCCCATCCTTTATCCTCATAAAGTAAAATCGTTCATTGTCTTTGACGCCTTTCATCCGAAACATCAATTTCTTGCCGTGAGTAGGTTTCAATACCCTTACTTCCTCCCTTCAAAACCACAAAATCCTCTTTCTATTGTTTCTCAGTGCCGTTCGTTTCTTGGGTTTCTCCGAACTCTCCCACTTTACATGAACTGGGGAGTATGAAAGGGGAGGGCATGGCGAAGAGATCAATAGGAAGTTTAATGCGGAAGAAGCTGTCTGATATTACGAATTCGCAGCCCCAGCCTCAACTTCCCAATATTGAAGAAAATTTTCCTGAGAATCTCCCCGCCAACAAGGATTGCATCGAGCAATTGCTAAAGGTACAATTTTTTTTTTTGGCTGGCGCTCTCAGTTTCCATGCGATGCCAGTCTTCTTTTGTTCATTTTTTAATCCCCACGAATTTCCGATGCAGGAAAGAGTGACGCTGTTGCAACTCCTTGCGGAAAGAAAGTATCCTTTGATCATTTCTTCTTTAGATTTTGTTTTTCCCTTGTAATAATTTGCGGACAAAATAATAGGTTAACATCTTTGGGATCTGGGTAAACACGTATAGTTGGATGCAAACTCAATTTATCATACTTCCTCAGTTGGTGTCAAAATTGGGGAGAAATCAGTTTTTCTTTAATGAATATTTCAACAGTAAAATTATCGAATTGACTGGATCTGAGCTGCAGAGACTGCGAACTAATATTCAGAAACTCCAGCTACAGAATTGGAATCTTGCTCAGTCAAACAGCCATATGCAAGCGGTTAGTCTACAAATTGCAATGCGAATCTAATGTAACTATACATGAATTATAAGTTGACTGTTATATTGACCAAGCCTAACTGATTTTGCAGGAGCTTAATTTAGGAAGGGAAAGGGTGAGTCAATGTCTCCAACCTTCCCGAAACATATGAGCTATTGATGGACAACTCCGACTTAAATTGCCTGTCTGACTAATTCTTTTTGGCAATCCTCATTTCAGATTAAAGCACTGCAGCATGACATTGTATGTAGAGCTGCCTTGCTGAAAGGAATGAGCTTTGGAGTGGAGGTATGCGTCTTCTTCACTCTCTATCACAGTCAATTTGATATATGGCAGCATGCAGTCAGCATGACTTGATAGAAATAGTTGTTGGAGGGTGATAGTTAAAGCCTTCCGGACATGCATTTAAATAGTTCTATCCAGGGAGGCGGTATCACCATTTTTCTAAATTCAAAAATCAAAATGTATTTAATTTGATGCTGTCTTTGGGGAGATGTTATGCAGAAATTCATATCATGACATAGATGCACGTGTCGTGATGAATGATTAAAGTTCATTCTAGTTGTAATAATTGATTAAGTTTGGAAAAGGATTGGAAAATTTTCCTGCATTCATTCTAAATGTTAATTTTGCAGGGTAAAGTGGAAGCGAGGGATGAAGATAATATACCATTGTCTCAGGTGCCTACACTAAAACCCTCAGACGTTCGTTTCCCAAATTAGAACTAGCATCGATGACTGTTATTTCACGTGTTTGTTTACATACTACTTATGTTGATTGACTAAAGGAAGTGGAGGAAAAAACAGCACGGCCATCGCCTAGAGCTAGCAATGAAGGGAAAAACAGCAGCCGAAACAGAAGACGAAACACGAGAAGATGTAAATTCTTGGACTACTGTTCTTCCTCTGAAAACTTCTTACATATTGTTTGTTGTTAAATTTGTTTATCTGTGATATGGAAATGGTATGCAGCCACTGGTTCTTCTTCTACTGCTTCTACGAGGGATGCATGCAAAAAGAAGTCCGAAGACAAAAGGTTGGTTCACATTTCGATGTCACCAACAGTTTTCTTCATCTCTCTCGACGGCATTTCAGTTTACGAAGTCTCTCTCTTCTCTTGTCTTGTGCTTCAGGCCAAGTTCGCGAAGGCATTCTGCCAAAGTCACAACACATGAACGCGAAGCATTGGAGGATTTGTTCGAGATAGAAGATGCTAAATATGCTGTCACTGGAGAAAACTCTGGCTTAGGACACCAAGGTCCAAGATCTTCATTCGGAAGACCATCGCGAAAAGCAGCTGAAAAGGTTCAATCTTACAAGGAGATTCCTCTAAATGTCAAGATGCGTCGTCTTGAATAATAACTCAAATCAACTCACACGTACAGAGAAGTCGGAATTATATTCTTCGAGTGTGTTACTCTGTTTTTATGATCATTCATTTGAATATTCTCGCTATTTTGTGTCAAATATTTGGGCCGTCCATGTATGTGGTTTCCGGGTGGTGTTGTCTCGAACTTGATTTGGTGTACATGTTATGTTAAGGTATTGGAGCTGGGCTTTAAACAAAGAAATCTCTGAAACGGGCTAATTTAATTGGACCAAGCTTTTGAGACCCGAATCAAAAGACGACAAACAACGTTGAAAAGAATAGCACTAGAATAGAAATACTATTATTCGTGAAGGGGTAAGAGAAAGAGGCGAACTTTTTCTAGAAAAGTGATTTGATTTAGAGAGCAAAATGTGCAGCCATGTGAAATGAGGCTGATAGTCAATAACAAAATGGGAGCATCATGTTCTTGGAGAGACATATAGAGGAAACCGTGTGGGGCCTCCTCGTAAGAACTTTATCTTTCCATATATATGCCTACTTCGACTGCTAATCCTTTCTTTTTGGTTTTGTTTGTTTGGATAATCATGTGAATCATAGCCCCACAACCCAAGACATTCTTTGCTTCCGCCCTCATCCCTGTCCTCCTCAAGCATTTCATTATCTGTTTGCACCAAACAGGAATCAGAAAATACCAGATTTTTCAATTGGCCTCGCCGCAGTATCTAAAACTAACAACCAAATCAATTTTACTCACATGCTTCCACTTTTTAAATATAGGGGGGCAATCACACACTCTCTTAAAGTTATATATTGCACTAGTTCAAATGATTTGATAATTTTTAGAATCTTTTATTTAGCGATTTATTGTTCAAATCCTCCTCACAAGCCAAGATTTGGGGGGTCGGAATAATGGGACAAATGGACCGTCCCTTTTCTATTAGACTTGGAGATCCAAAACCGCGTGAATTCACGGACTATTTTGGAACCTTTCGATTTTAAAAGAAACCTTTTTCTTCGCTTGAAAAAACAGATCTCTCTCTTTCCAACTAAATATGGATTTTCCCCAGCATTTTACATTCGTGTCTTACCAAGATGTTTCACCTTTGTCATTATAATCAAATGTAAACATCTTATTTTATCTCCATTTTATCTTCAACTTGCTTAGTGAAAGTTCCAACTTTTTTTACGTGGGTGGTGAGGGCAACTCTCAAAACTCAAAAATAATTTATAAATACCGGTAATTACTTATCAATGAAGCTTTTTATTTGTTTATATAGAAGATATGAACAACATCTGTCAATTGAATCACACTCTGTGAACAAAAATTCCAATTTGTTACCCCATTCATACGCCAATCAAATTATTGTTTTTTGAATTTAAATTTTGAATTTTTCACGTAAAGTTTTGTTCACATTAATATATCATTGAGTTAAAATAGTTGTATAATATAATGATTATTTTTATTCTGTACAGGAAAAATATCCAGTTTAATGTAAAGTTTAGTTAAGGGGGACCCAGATTTTGTGTAACCGGCCTCTTGGGATTCCAATTACCCATACGACGTGATATGATTGGAGATGAAATTGACGACCCACCTAAAGACTTTGATAAAATTTCCTTTTTTCTTAAAAAGATAAAAGAATTGAATCCAAGTGACCCGTTTTTCTTCAAAATAATAATATTATTTAATGGGCAAAAAGAAAATATTGGAGGTAATGGAGAGCACGCGGTTTTAAAAAAAGTTGGCATCCATGATTCTCTTTCTAGGGTTTCCCTACCCGACAGGTATGAGCCGTTAGGACCCCACCCATGGCGGACTTAACCACTCCTTTTCCTGTGACTTCTTCCTTCTCTTCATACTTAACCCCATGTTACATTCCCCTGCTTGATGTAACCTCCATCTTCCCCTAACTTTGTT